TTGACCCCAACACTGCCCTCCCCAAGTTTGAACCCAGATTCGCCCCTATTATTATTTAATTGTGGTAAAGAATTGAAATCATGTCTTGAAATGTCTGTGAACTAAAGGTACAAACACAATTCTTGATTTCCTTATTTCTAAATATCACTAACTATCCTATTTGCTCTCAAACCCATCTCAAATACTGAAATTGAAATAGAAGCACAGAATATTGTATACATATCAGAAATCTAATAATAATTCAAGTGAAACAAAAAAATATTGTATGCAGCAAAGTTATGCTTTTATTTTCATAGGCCTAATATTAAATGAGAACTGAAAAATTTACAACATAGTTATTTATAAGAATGCTAGATTATTTATATTCATTTTTTATATTTTGTAAATAATTTATTTATATTTATTTTTGTTTATATTTATTCATTTGTATATTTAATATTCTATAAACAAATTAAAAATTAAAGGGGTAGGTGAAAGTTACAACATATATATATCTAGATTTATTTTTTTATTCATATTTAATTTTTCATTTTTTAATTCTCAACCATATCAGCCACTTGCTTTCTCAGCCATTAGGATATTAAGTTGTTATTAGAATTTAAGTAATGGGGAATTTCCCGAGAAACCATTCACTTGTCATCAGTTGTCATCTCAACTTGCCTTCATATCCTTTTTATATCACTTAGCACATACTCAAAGACTTTATCAGAGAACATTTGCCCATCGTTTAATTTTATAAATTATCAATTCAAATTCCTTTGGTGATAAGCACATTGACATTTTGTTAAAATTACAGTTTATTATAATTATTTTTAATTATTTAATATATAAGTGTCCAATACTAAATCCTTTCCGAGCCACTGGGGCTCATAGGACTGGAGCTTATCCCCAGTTTCTGTAGTGTGAAGCAGATGAGAGTTGTACTCCCACTGGACGGGACACTAGTCCATCGCAGGTTAGTCCCCAGCAGATTGCTGGTACCCATTGATACAGCTGGGTGGACTGAAGCAATGTAGCTAAAGTGCCTTGCCCAAGGACACAAGCGAATCTGCACAGTGGAGACTCGAAACCCAGACCTTACGATTGAAAGTCTGAACCACAACTGCTGCGCCACACTGAAGTGTCCAATATAAGTTAGTAATTATTGGAAATCAAAAATTATAGACTATGTGCATTAAAAGTAAATCAGGCGATCAATTCATAACAACCATCCTGACAACCATATCACACTTGATATCTGAGCCATTAGGGTATTAAGTTGTTATTAGAATTTAATTAATGGGGGAATTCCCTGAGAAACCATTCTTTTGTCGTCAGTTGTCATCTTACCTTGCCTTCATTTCCTTTTCATGTCATAATTAAGGGCCTTGCAGTATTAGAGATCCAAAAACTTTCAGCATTTAAATTCTAAATTATTGAGTGAAAAAAAAACGAAACTTTTTTAATCAATGACAATTTTTTTCCCGGAATCTGAGTTGGTGATTTGGCTTTTTTTTTTTCAACTGTAAGGCTGTTAGTCCAGAATTTCTGAAGGTATTAATCTAAAAAAAGATGTGAAATCATTTTATCTAGCATATGCATATAAACTAAAGTAAATGTTTTAGAAACCACCTTCCCAGATTATTTATTTATTACAAATTCAACGTTAGACAGATGTCCAAGAAGAAATCATGGGCCGAGAGCCAAGCACGAAAGTGGGTACTCTTGACATAAATTTCTATACAAAATATGTAAAATGTGAACACCATAGGTAAAATTTACAAACAATATTAACAATCACCATAAAAAAAGGTTCATCTCATATATTACCGTAAGCCGTTAAAATGTGTAGTTTTGGTTTTTTTTTCTTAATATTAACTCCTCAGACTGTCGGTAAAAGTGTTCTAGAGCTTCGCTTCCTTCAACATAAACAGAATTTTGAAAAAGAGTTGTTTGAATGAATTAATTATGCTTAATTAGCCTATTTATAGTGATTTGTGTAGCAAAACTTTCCGTGGCCAGTCATTGTACAAGTTGCAAAAACACAGATGTGAAGGTTTCACAACTATTATTGATTGAAAATAATCGGTTTCAATAGGATTAGAAATGTATTTAGCACAAATAATGGATGAAATTGAAAGAAAAATAATAGCAATTTTGTTACTGTTTGAATTCACCAAAGATGATGCATCATACCTCCGCTTTACACCAAAATTAAATATATAATGTATTTATAGTATATATGTGTATCATATATTTTATTTTATTATGTTATTTTTTATGTAAATCAGCACCATTGTATGTATTATAATATTTCAGGTTTACAAAATGCAAATGTAACACCTAGTTATTGTATAGTAGGTTTTATTTATTAATATTCTATGTGACCGAAGCCATAGCAATGGTTTAAGAGTGAGGTTAATGTACTGTACTCTTGATTAATTTTTTCAAATCTTTTTAATGTGATTTTAATCTTTTAAACAGGACCATATTGTAAAACAGTTAATCACTGATTATGTTATCCTGTAAAAAAACGTTGAGATATTCTCAACCAACAACAGTTCTTTTCAGAACTATCTATGTGGTGTTCTGCAAGCATTAATATATATTAAGATGTTTTTAAATATATAAATGATAAATTAAGAAAACAATGAAAGATTATTTCACAAGGTATTAAAAAGCTTGCAACAGCCAATGAAATGTGTATAATACATCATATGCCATAGCAAATTGTGTGTGACATAGTTTGAAACATTTAATGATAATGTATGAATTCTCTGTTGCACAATAATAATAAATATAATAGCTATGCTGTATGTGTATATTATATGCAAATGTTATACCAGTAAGCCATTACAAATGGTATATTGCACAAAAAAATATGGTATAAGTCATAGCATGGTATATGGCATAAGCCATGGGAAACTATAGCACAAACTAGCATATGGTATATTATAAGTATAGTAGTATTACATGACACAATATATTTAACAATAATATATCCATAGCATGCATGTTGTCGCATATACAATAAAATTATTTCTCATTCTACTGTTTGCATTTACATAATGTAATTGAATTGATGTATGTTTTATTGCAATTTTGAATAAATCATCAAAGGATAAGGTTCCTACTGGCAGGTTTATTGTGTATGGCACCTGTTTTTGTTCCCATGTGTTCAAAACACTTAATATATGACGTTGGCTATTGTTACACCAGCTTTAAAATAATTCCTATTTCTGATTGGATGTTATTGGTTGTATAGAATGGATTAGCCCAATAACATCCAATCACAAATAGGAATTCATTTGAGACTGGAATAATACCACTGCCTAAAAAATATACTATCTGTGATGTGCTAAAAACACTTATACAATGCACAATTTTAAAAAAATCCTATTTTACGTAAATCACCATATTCTTTTGCATACCCTATTTTTGTAATAAAATTATAAATTAGGTGGAACCAAATTGTTCTTGATTTGTGTCATTGGACAAAATAATGTATTTAATTTGTTCAAATGAGCAATGTCTATCTATTATTTGTGCCTTCTAAATATTTCACCACAGGTAGTATATTGGATTTTAAAATTATTTTTGATCAACCAATAAAGCCAAAGACGTATAGTACTTACTTTATTGGATGATAAAAAATGATTTTGTAATCCACTCTTATTAACCAGATGAAATTGTTCCAACAAGTGGTATACTGTGATAAAATGACAGGAAAATGATTTCACACTTGGTTAATGATCTTTTTTTGGTTGCTGTCGGACGGCAGAATGTGGTGGGTTGGGTCAAACGCCCTCTTTTGCTGCCCCCTTGATCTACCATTGCTTGCAGATTTACCCATGGGCCACTACAGTATTGTAATACTACAGTGAAGGCCATGTGAAGTGGAAATCAGAAGTATTGGTTTTTACCGACATGTCTTAAGTAGGGATGACAGGCTTACAGAAGCTACAGTAATTGCAGTGTGTGGCGGTGTCTGGTTTTGCCCGATGTAGTGAGGTCTAAGCTTAAGCATGTCCCAACCCCGCTGGCAACACCACTGACTCATTGCATAAAGTTAACCAAAAAAACTAGCATGACAATTTCCAAGTACACTTAAAACAATTTTCAGAACATTAGTTAAGCATAATATGTTATGACTTGACTCCATTTAACTCACTATTGTAAATGTTTAAAAAATACTGCACTGCTTGAAAAATGTTTGGAGGCTTAGCCTTATGTAGAGCTAATTTGAAAGCAGAAATTTTTAAAAATTACTGAAGTAGATGTTACCATATTCATATGCCTGTATGACTTGCTACAACATCAGATATAGGGAGCTTTCGATTTTTTCACTCATGCGATGTTAGAACGGAATCACTCATGTGTGACCGTCCTACCGGGCGTCCTACGTTCTCTGCATACATAGATTTGGCCAAATTGCGTCTTAGAATCCACGCGACGAAAACTTAACGTTCTTGCATGTGCAGATGTCTTTTAGTGACGTCATTACGTTTTACGTCCTACTGTCATCGTGCATTCGAAAGTTCCTTAATATTCAATCTGTGGGACATCAATTATACAAAATTATCATTATGGTGTTTCGCATGTTTGGTATATACTTTTGATTATGCAGCATCGTTGAATAAACACTGACATAATTGTAATAATAATAACAATAATAATAATAATTTAACTTAAAAACAGAACACTTGATCACCGTTTTTCACAAGACACAAAAGCATACCAAAATGGACACAATTTAAATTAAGAATCAAAGTAAAAAAACGAGAAAAAAGAGAATGCAATTTTTTCTTACTGTTTTTCTGTAATTTTGTATTATACTGTTGTTTTATTTTTGCATTGATATTTTTGGGGAAAAAAATTAAATAAAAAAAATTTGATGTAGCTTTAATGGAGAGTGGCAAATCATGTTTGTTTTGTACTCTAGAAACCTAGAATAATTTGTAAGGGAATTACTGATCTCCATATTGCTACTAATGGTCTTTCTTTTTTTCTGTTTTTTCTAGGTTATGGCAACATTGCACCAAGTTCAAGAGCGGGACAGCAATTCTGCATCTGCTATGCCCTGATTGGCATTCCTTTATGTGGGTTTGTCCTGGCGGAATTGAGTAACCGAGTAAAGAATCGCTCTTTGAAGTTCAAGGAAAGAGTCATGAAAATATGGAAAAAGAATAAAGAGAATAGAGCAGAGGTTTTCTACATGGCAATGATTTGCACAAGCGGATTTTTTCTTTTCTTTACAATCCCTGCAGTCATCTTTGCTCTTGTAGAAGATTGGAGCTATCATTTAGCATTCTATTACTGTTTTATTACTCTCAGTACCATAGGCTTTGGCGATTATGTTGCAGGTAATTTATTTATTTATTTATTGATAATGCTAAATCATACATAAGAATATGATTTTATAGAGAGTTAATTTTGGTGCCAATTTGTTTGGAACCTCTGTTTTTATTTACTCTCATACAATTTTTTTTTTTCTAAAAATGACCGGGAATGCTGTTTCTAACCTTAGTCCTTATATCTCCGCAAACACTCTCTACCACCATTGGTTGCGGAGATAATAACGACTCAATGGCTATCATATATAAAATATATCAAAGGTCAGAAAGGGTATTTCCAGTAATTTTTTAGCAAACTCATTTTTTAGACCAAATAGAAACATGAATGTTCCGAACAAATTGACAACACCATTAACTCTCTACCACAGTGGTTGCGGAGATATAAGAACCATATGGCTATGACCTTGAAACCTGTCAAAGCTCAGAAACGGCATTTCCGGTCATTTTTTAGCAAAATGTTCCATTAGAGCAAATAGAAATATGCATATTCAGAACAATGTGGCACCAAATTCAACTCCCTACTCTCTACTACCTGTGGATCCAGAGATACAAGGACCTTATATCTTTGACCTTTGACCCTGACCTTTTTCCACATTTTGAAAATGTGTTACCAAGCCAAAAATGTTTCTTGGACCACCCTGAACCAATTTCTGAAGTCAAATTCTCTGTACCTCAAAGTGCATACAAAACCTGGTCTGGCTCCTAGGGTACATATAGTCTTGATGTGCCTATATATGGTCATGATGTGCCTATTTATAGTCTTGATATTCCTATATATGGTCACAATGTGTTTTTGTCAAAGTGTGATAGTCTGGATGTGGATTTATGCATATAATTATTGATTTGCATATAATTATTGATTTGCATATAGAAATGAAATTGTATCAAGTTATACAGTTTTTAATTTATTGATTTATGATACAAAATCCACTTTTATCTTTTAAAACTGCAGGAACCAATCCAAAAAAGCACTACAGTATTTTTTACCGCATCGCAATATATATTTGGATTATCCTTGGCTTGGCTTACTTCATCCTTCTTCTTCAACATGTCTCAGATGTGTTGGAACATGCAGGGAAAAAGATAAAGAAGAGAACAAGGACAATCCGTGAGATAAAAAAAGGGAATGGAAAAGAGGTGAATGAAGAAAAGAAAGAAGTATGTGGAGAATGTTGGAAAACTAATAGAGAATCATTGACAAGCAAAAAGGATATAAAAGAAAATGATGAACAGAAGATTATAATCGAGCAAGTGAATGAAAATACGATTGAGACGGAGGCTGATGTTAACATTGAGCTTGTTCAACAACAACCTGCGAGAAACGAGAACCAGCCTATCAACGTACAGCAGCCAAATGATGCAGAAATGGAGATGATTATCTAGATCTTAACTCTACATTGTTTTAATCTATTTTTTAAATATTTATGTAAATTAGATAACCTTTTTATAGATAGAACACGTGGAATCTATATTACTTTTTGGAAATACAGGATGCTGTTTTTTAACTATTTATTTATGTATTAAAATATAAGTTCCTTGAGCAAGTTTCTTGATACAAAATTCACAAGAAAGTAGACATTGTCTGGAGTTTCAAAATGCTCAAACCTGCACAGTTTATATTTCCATTTAATCCATTAAATTATTTATTTGGCAACAACAGTACAGATAAATTCTGCAGCGAATCGATGTAATTGATATGGCTGAAGATGCCAACTGCTGTTCTATTGTAGTGCGTGACAAATATGATTTTTCCTGTCATGTATCTTTTTGTATGTATTCATGCAGGCATGTACTTTGCAACTTTTATATGCGCCAATTTCCATTTCTTTTATGTTATTTGACATTGTATCATACTTCTTCACAAAACATTGAAGAGGAACAAAAGAAAGAAAGTGTTTAGGCCTACATGGAAACAGGGCATGAAACATTGGTAACTAGCAAAATGCTGTTTTTCAGGGGCAGTTAGCCAGGTTTTTAAAAATTTTAAATTCCAAATTTGACGAAATGGTATGTACATCATAAATAATTTTCTTAGCCATTGTTTATGACAATGTAATTAGTTTTCTTAAGGTTTCTTCATTGAGGTGATTTTATTCTGATTAAATATATTACGAGTATTGTGCTCTAAATTGACCTTTTTGGTCTGACAAAAAAAAAAGTTCACTGATACCAAAGTGCTGCTGTAATGTAGGCCAACCTTATTTTTGATGCAGTATGTAAATTGTTCTCGTAATTTCTTTGTAACTCTTTTATTTGTGCTTCTTATTTCTTTATTCACATTTGGAATTTTGAGAATAGCCATAATGTAAATGCTGGGGCTATGTGCTTACTATCACTGAAATTTATTTATGTTGTAGTGCAATTGTTAATAACCGAAGGGCAACACCTTCAGAATTATTTGGATTGAATCTCTCTTGGGAAATATCATAGTGACTAATCATACTTGTTCATAATAAGTGTGGTTTCAAGCAGAATGAAAGACAAACTGCATTTGTTATACATCTTCAAGTACATGCACACTTCATGTGCACGCCAGCTTTACAATTCACGCAAATATTCACACACCGTCTCTATGGACATGACACATACAGTTTGTTTAATATGCAGACTGCTCGTACTGTATGGTTTATATTGTTGTGTTACAATACAGTGGTAAATATTTATATAAGTCATGAAGTCTGAATATTAAAATACAGATCTCCCTCCAATTAGAGACCAGTACTTTCCATGGCAGTTTTGGTTTCTCATTAGAATAATAAAGATAAGAAATTTGGGACCACAGAAAGGTGGTCCTTAATTAGAAGTGGTCGTTAATTGGAGTGGTCTTTAATTAGAGGGAGACCTGTAATAAATTGCTCATTTAATAGGATCAGATATGTTATCCAATGAGACAGATTAACCTATTTAGTTATCATTGATTATATGGACATTTTTGCTGTGTAACAGAACATAAAACATCAGATATGTTATCCAATGAGACAGATTAACCTATTTAGTTATCATTGATTATATGGACATTTTTGCTGTGTAACAGAACATAAAACATCAGATATGTTATCCAGTGAGACAGATTAACCTATTTAGTTATCATTGATTATATGGACATTTTTGCTGTGTAACAGAACATAAAACATCAGATATGTTATCCAGTGAGACAGATTAACCTATCCCGTTATCATTGATTATACTGTATAGACATTTTGCTGCAAACATAGCAAATCAGATATGTTATCCAATGAGACAGACTAACCTATTTAGTTATCATTGATTATATGGACATTTTTGCTGTGTAACAGAACATAAAACATCAGATATGTTATCCAGTGAGACAGATTAACCTATCCCGTTATCATTGATTATACTGTATAGACATTTTGCTGCAAACATAGCAAATCAGATATGTTATCCAATGAGACAGACTAACCTATTCAGTTTTCATTGACATATATAGACATTTTGCTGTGCAACAGAACATAGAACATCTGAATTAGCAAATAAATTATTTATACTTGCTATATTTCAATTGATAGCTAATAACTTAAATATGCAAATAAGCAAATAAACCAAATCTCATCTTTTATTATTTTTTTCACAGTTTTCATTGCTAATTTTTATCAAAAATAACTATGAATTCGACTTGACCTTGATTTACGGTTCCAAATCCTAAGATGCCCCATACTTGTAAAATAGAGTTTTCACTGTAGATTTTTTTTTTCTTATTCACTTTATGCATCAAATAATTTTTACATACAACAACATACACAGAAAAAATGACAACAGACAAAATACAAGAAAAGGAGATGCAAAAGGGTGAGAACGACAGTCTCCAGAATTATTATTTTACATGAGTGATGTTTGCCCTACCTAACATGTTATCGTACTGAATACTCAGTATGTTCCCAAATACTTGCAGAATAAATTCAAAACACACATCAAAATATTATTATTTTGTTTACACTATGCAATAGAAACATTATAAATATGCATCTCGCATGGACCTAATCTGAATTTTCTGAATTTATATTCAGCAAAGGACCACTTATTTACACTTACATTAAAATTTAATCTAACTCAATTGCCAATAAATATATTGGCAATTGGATGTCCTTATTAAAAACTGTATATGTACCTTTGATGATTTCAATTGCCAATGCTAGTCATGGTACATTTGTTTATGTTGAATTGTGGCATATATTGCACAGGCTATTTCTTCCCCAATTGCTCTTTTCATCTGTATTGAAGAATTACAAAATTATGCAAATTCTATTTATATCAGACATTCTGGCGCAGATCCAGTGGAGGGACGAGAGGGAACGTGTTCTCAATTTTGCTACAAAATGTTAAAAATTTCAATGCATCCTGTATCCGCCCCTGACATAGGCAAGCAATATTATTTTATCAATACATTATTTTCTATAGGTCTGTGTAATTTTAGGAAGATTCATTTATGTTTTCTTTTAAATTAAATCAGATATAAAGATACACATACAAAGCCGAGGACAGAAATTGTGTGAATACCTATTTATAAAGGTACTGTAGTATATACAGATTGTATGTAAAATTTCTTGATGTCGATTTAGCAGGGACATAGGCTGGTTTTGGGGTGGATGGCAGCAGAGGTGGATCCAGTAGGGGCACCCCCCCCCCTCGTTTTGTCATTAAATTTTAGAATATTCAATGCAAATCAAAGTTATGTGCTACTCACTAACCCTGTTTTAAAGATGCTGGATCCGCCCCCGGGGGTGCGAAAAGTAAGAATGCAGAACTAATCCCTATTCCAATTAATATTTTAACACACTTAGTGAAACTACTTTGCCATCATTAGTGTAATTTTATACCTCCATGGTGTAACTGATACATTTTTATTCAATTATAAAAATTTAATCTATGTAGATAATAGTAGTATAATAAATGATACATGTTACACATTATCATGTGATGCTTATGTTGGACATACTGTAGTTAACTTTTATTAGACATATTAGAGGTATTAGACAATAGTAATCACAATTTTAATGTTTTAAATTTAAAGTAATTCCATTCTAAAGAAAATAAGACAAAAACTTCACATTTATCAAATGTAAAAATATAATCTTTTCACTTGGATTTAAAAACAAATATCTATTATCTATATTGTTCAAACTCAAGTAATGTTTAAACAAAATAATAATAATAATAATAGAAAGAAGGAGAGCACATCATCTTTGTTTGGCTATTGATTATTTGTTTGTCCTTTCCAACTAACAACGAAAACAAAAATTCAGGGAAAAATGTTTGTCTATTTTGTGAATACATTTAATTTGATGAACTGACAATTGCTGGTGTTCTCGTAAACTGAACATCCACAGGATGTTTCTATTATTTTCAAGGGGTGTTCTGTTTAATACACAAGTTGTGGATTTATCCAGTTAAGTATGTCACAAACTCATAGACTAAAAACATTACTGTTTTGTTTAATTAAACTTTAAATAAATAGTATTAATGAGAGATAAGCATAAATATATGTGATTAATCAAAAACTTGGAAGGTGTAGATTCTTTATAATTATTCTGTGGATGCTAGGATCATGTGACCTGTACAAGTCAGGTAAACCTTTGAAACATCAAACAAATTTTTTTTTAAATAAAGAAAGTTGAAAAGACAGAAGGTGTATTAATAATAGTATTAATGACAGATAAGCATAAATGTGTGTAATAAAATCAAAAACTTTGAAGGTATGGGTTCATTATAATTATCTTGTGCATGCTATGATTATGTGACATGTAAAAGTCAGGAAAACTTTTGAAACATCAAAACTAATTTTTTAATGGAAAGTAGAAAAGACAGAAGTTATAGATGTCAAGATGTTTTAATGAAGTGAATCATTTACCATATATTTATTACATATTTAATTAACCTGATGTTTATTTTGTAGACAGATTTCTATTTTAGTTAATTTTTGATTTGTTCATTGTTATCTTTATAGCTTTTAAATGCTAACAAAATTTCGAACTCATCTGTTTGTTTTTTTAAATGTTGAACACACTGATTCATATATCTGGATCTCACAGGGTTTAATTTCTCTTGTTCTGGTCAACCTCCTATTAATCTACAATCAATTTTTTGATTTGTACTTAAATGTGGCCTAACAACATTTAAAAACTTGGCTAAAGATAGTTGATTTACATGACATTATGTAAGTTGCATAACATTTAACAATTTTGGAAAAGCTTGGTGATGTAAACTGTTTCAATTGGCGTAATATTTTTTAAAATGTGATGTTTCAAATGTTTTGTTGTGGTTTTAACATGTTGCTTTGGTACTTGCAGGCCACCATATTAAATGTTAATAAATTGTGCAACTTTTGGCTGCAATAATTTGCTGTATTAAGTTATACCATGTGTATAATAATGTAGTAAAATAGTATGCATTAGGCTTCCATTTTGGCCAGTAGTTTTGTGGAGTAATACCTATCGAATAACTCTGAAATATTATGTAAACATAATGGAGCAAATATAATGATAAAGCATACATACATGATTCATTTTATACAGTCTGGGCTGTAAGTTTTTAAGAATATGGCACCTACTACATTATTATTAAATTTTTACTTTAGATAAGTGTAATTTCCTCATGGTTTCATGTAAATAATGTAATGTGATGAAAATGATCAGTTTATTGTTTACTTGAGAAAATAAAAAAATCGCCTCTAATTTACCATTAGTGGGTATAGAGTAAAAGAGGTTAGCTTGATTGACAATGGGGTGCTATAAATACATACCGGTATTTCATCCTCTTAATCATAGCAGAAAAAGTGATATAAAGTTATAAGCTACTCATGGAGAGTTATGGTAACACCGAAGTACGTTCTTTGTGGACACGTTACCCGACGATTGTCAGCACAGTATGAGCCAAGCTTTATGTGCTTTGATTTATTTATTATTAGTATTATTTATTATATTTTTTTTTAAACATTTCCATAAAATTTACATTAAAAAAGTTGCTTTAACTAGACAGCTACTTCATTGTTTTATCCTATACATAACTTCTGTTAAAAAAAAAAAAAATAGTTTCACAATTTTTTGTGACTGTTCATGTGCCTTAAGGATTGTTGTATAAATATTTTAGGCCTAATAGCTATTAATTTATTTATTCCTAAGTACGGTTTGGCGCAGCGAAAATAGTTTGGTTTCCCAACCTTGAGGTCGAGGTTTCAATCCTTCACTTTGTGTCCTTGAGGAAGGTACTTTATCTACACCACCTGTATCAATGAGTACTAGCAAATTGCTGGGGGGGGGGGGTAACCTGGCGTCCTACACTCACACTCTCATCCGCTTCACGTTGCAGAAACTGGGGCTAAGCTACAGCCGTATGAGCCCCATGGCTTTGCAAGGAATACATTTTATTATATTAGTGTTTGTCAGTTTTTTTTTTAATATGCTGAAACTACTGTAGTAATAGTGCTTATTGTTAAGATCTCTATGCATTTGACATACTCAAGTGAGCTAGTCTGTTATTCTGTTATATAAGTTATGCCTCATTTTCATAGGAGCCCTGTAGCAACGCTTAGTCTAAAACGTGCAGCATTATTGATTTTATTGTGCTAGAATATCATATGGCAAACATCTATGCAAACAATTAATTTTACCGAGCTCAATGTCACTAAGCTATTTGTTTCCACAGTGTACTTTCCTCATTTCTATGTAAATTACTTACTATTTTAATTTAATTTGAGTTTTGACCTCCAATTTCTTTCTTTCTTCTTTATTTAGGCACACAATACATGTGCCTAGGATTGTCAATAGCAAGTATATCACTGTCCAACGTGTAGGTGACAATCCATTACACAAGACAAACATACACACACGATGCTTTACACAAACTAAATCTCAATATGAGATTTAGGGAGTGGAAGTTGTTTTGGTCGTGAGAAAAAAATCCTGCAACACTGACAGGAATTGAACCCAGAACCCTGGATTGGAAGGCAAGCATCTTAACCACCAAGCTATTCAACTCCACTCCAAATTCTAATAGGGTGCCCCTAACTTGTGGTTGTATTTTTTTAACGTGTCATTGCGTGCATACAAAATTAGGGCAGTCGAACCTCTTGCAATTCTGTTCTCTTTGGTAGAAGTATCTGCAACGTTCGTATTGTTTTTAAATTTTAAAAAATATTTTCACGATGTTATGAAATATCAGGGCATGTTGCGTAATTACCCTTCATTAGGCACCACAGTGCTTTTTCGAGAATGGTGCTTAGCAAAAAATACCGTGTTTGGTGTGGCGTCTATTTAAGAGTTTACCTTTATTCAAGAGATGCACTTATTCAGTCATTTACGGTACCTTAAAGCTACGTGTACACTAGACACGATTACGACATGACAACAACACGATGCAAATGCGCTCTGTTGCAGAATACCAACTACACGACGATATGTTGTTGTGTTGTTTTATTGTGTCTAGTGTAAATCTAGCTAAAGCCCTGTTCAGACTATAAAATTTTATTTGACAAAAACATGCCTAAATATGGTCATGATGACATCACAACATGACCATATATAGGCACATCATGACTATATATGGGCATACAACAGTTTTTGTAAAAGAAAGCTTTAGTTGAATTATATCAGTCACCCTTTCGTGAGTGAGTTCGCCAACATAAGTACTGTCCTGGTGGCCTTGTGTGCTCTGATAACGTCTCCCTAATTTCAGTTGTATTTATTCTTATGAATTTAAAATGCTTCTTCTTTTGCTTACCAATGTTGTTCTTTGTCTAGGATCTTGACTCTTCCAGGCTTGTATTTTCAGCAGCATGGGCAGATTTACCGGTATACTATTTAAGATTGTGAACTACTCTACTCTAGTTCTAACACCTTTGTGTGTTTTTCTTCTTTGAAAAAAATATATATAATTTATATATTTGACAAAGCAATAAAAACATTTTTTGTTTACTAAAAATGTAAAGCCAAAAAAAATATTGATATTGTTATTTTTCGCTTTGTGTTAGGCAAAATAGATGGGGAAAAAAACATATTTTACTTTATCTATTATGAAAATGAAATCAGATATTTACTTCAATAATCCATGGTATTATATATGCTAGATCCAACAAATTTCTTATTCTAATTTGTGTAAGAAAACTTTTCCTTTCACTACTGTATGTATAAACTGCTTTAATGTGTAATCAATTATAATATTAATATGATGACAATTTATATTACTGTATATATTACTCTGGTTTTATTGCTATTGTTAAATTTCTAGTATTTCATTTTATATAGTACCAACAAATGTTTCAAATATTGTTTCATTCATATGTTGTATCAAGCACTTTTAAATAATGTTTACGTGATGGAAAACCACTCTGATAATCAGGGGTGGATCCATAATTTTTATAATGAGATGGGCCTAGATGTAATATAATTATACAGATAAGTATGCAAAAGGTATGGATTGTGATCAGTATATGCTGTTATGAAATATTGTAACATTTAGTATTTGTATGCCATTTTGTATTTTTTTTTTCTTGTTAAAAAAAATTTAAAGATGGAAGTAGCCAACATTTACAATATATCAACAATGACAGTATAAAGCCCAACTCCACTCTTTCTGAGCGCTAGACAACGCTTGGAGGAGTCTGAACGGACTTCATTAAAACGATCTGTTGCGCATGGGTCGTCGCATTGCGGTTTTTGTCGTATCTCATCGTGAGTGCTCGGCTTTAAATATAAAATGAGACATTAGCATAAATCTTTTTCTAGGGCGTGCAATGTAACTCCATTCTCTGCGTACCAGAAAAGTTCACTTGTGTGAAGACAATGGTAATTATTGTATTAATACCTCAGGAAGTGTCGGTGATATTAAGTATGTGTTCCGCAAAACATTTTGTCTTGTGTGAATTGAGTATAAGATGTAACTGGAATCAGTAAAGGCTGAAATATTTTCAAAATTAATGTTGTATTTCTACTGAAGTAGGTATAATGAGGCTTAAAATCCAGGCCATCCTAGGCTGACCATTTGGGTTTAGTGATGCTGTATATAACTGTATGAACCTTAAGTAGAGGAAATGTTTTGGCAAAGAAAAAAATCCTGATATTTTTACCAGGAGTGAATGATCATTTTAATTGTTTCTAATGTCACAAATGATTATATCTTTGTGCTTTATTGTTTGATTTTTAACTCCGATGTGGAGCTCTAGATAAACACTAGACGATTGATTAATAGATTTTTTAAGCTCTACTGCCTCTTTTATACTGCCCTCATGAGGAGCTCTAGAAACACTTGGTTGATTGATTAATAGATGATTAATAGAGATCTACTGCCCTCATCAGAGATTTCTAGATTACAAGAACTTGTTCAAATGAGACAGTATCCCTGTGCTTGAATGTTTTCTAAATCTCAAATGAGGTTATTTGTGGTCTACATTTGCTCTCCTATAGTTGGACTAATTAACATATTTTAACTAGTTTGTAGTGTTTCCTCAAATACGAAGCTCTTAAAATATCAGATATTGTAAACTTTTATTTAGAAAATGGAGCAGATGCAAATCAGGTGATTGCTAAAACCAGAATAAACAGCTGTGTTTCACTTTGAGATGCGTGTTTGTATCGCTTCCTGCTGTACTGTGTATTGTTTTTTTTTTTTCACGTTCATGCAGTAATGATAATGAGCATGTTAATTTTTAATGCAGAAAATTGAATTTCAGAATGTAGCAGCAGTGGCTGATCTAGGAATTTGAAATAGAGGAGTCCAGATTACCTCAGCCCTATAACAGTGGGGCTGAGGTCCATGGCACCTCTAGGCACATTGAGAGTTATGGTTGACTGGCCCAGGAAAATTTTACCAGTGGATCATCTGAACATGTTTAAATTGAAGATTATTTAGAATTAACCATGACTGTTTGACGACAGTGATGGCAATATGTACAACACCTACCTATAAATTAGTTTATGAATTGTCAATAATGCACTTACATTCAGTGGCAGTGCTACTGGGGGGGGGGGCGCCAGCAGGGGCTTAAGTCTTCCCACCGGACAGGTCAAGTCCCCCACCGGACAGGTCAAGCCACCCCATCGGACAGAGCTCGTGGGGCAGTTGGACTAAAAAAAAAAGGCCCACACCAAGCCAACACATGTCTGTCACAGTCTGAGAG